TAGGGACGGCTAGTGCAGATAGCCCTCATGTAGCTTTGCACAAAATTCAAAAAACAAACAAACAAACTTAAATAATTATTATTTATAATTTAATTTGCTGGGGAAAACTGTTGAAACTTTCAGCTATTACTTTTTGGCAAAAAGTTTTTAATGTCATCCATCTTCTTTGTTGAACAGAGCATGTAATGATAGAAAATACTTGAAGCAAGATGCAAATTAAAGTGCTTTTTGTTTTTTAAGAACAAATATAAATTAGGAGTAGCAACCTATTTTAGAGAAAATACAAAATATCTTTACCAAACATGAAATTCTTTGAATTGGTTTAACTTTTTCTTAGCACACAACAGTGACATGAATAATATTTATGCTAATTATGACAACATGAAATAAAGAACTTTATCATTTGCTAGCTAACTGAACAGTGGTAAAATTAGGTTGTTGTTTTTTTAATATGGTTTATTAAAAATGTTTTATTTAAGACAGAAGAATATCCATATTAGGATTTTTCTTATCCTTAAGGGAGGGTTTTTGGTATTAACAACTTAAGAAGTAAATGTTGTCTTTCTAAACAAATTTAAATGACTGTTGTTTAAGGTTTTAGGATTAGCTTTGCCCATATATGTTTAAAGTTTTAATACTACAGTTTAAAAATACATGTAAATATGACTTTTAAGAAAGGCTATTTATTTTATCATAGGCTGCGTTTGGATCTACAAAATATACGAACCTGAATACGATGATGTCAGTAGTCCATACTTCTGCAACAGGACTGTTTATTTGTTTGCTTTTTGGCTGGTGACATCTGTTTATATAATCCTAGGTCTGTTGACTGGCTGTTTATGCTGCCTAACTGTTTCTTCGGTCTTCTCTAGCCCTGATTAATAAAGGAAGCAGTATGCTTTGTCCATCGGGAATGTCAACAGTCTGCTGGAAGCAGCACAAGATGGACTTCAGAAAATGTCTTGCCTTCCTTTGTTATATATTTCTTCAGTCTCCAAGTAGTTGAGTCAGTTTTATATTCATAACATTTGTCAGTTTCTTCCATTTAATCAGTAAATCTAAATTTATTTGTGTAAATAGCCTACTATGCACTAGTGAACATAAAAGTCTGATGATGTGAGAGCATGATAATCATCTCATGCAAGAAAAGCTTACTCTACTGTACTAAAATCGGATGTACTGTATATTGTGATGCAGGTAGTTAAATAAGGATCTGTGTGATGGTGTAATGTTGTTGTTGCTCTTAATTCATTTTGGGATATTATTGAATTCTGATTTAAAAGATAAATGATAATGCACTGCAATTTCACGGTCATAAGTCATAACATACAAAATTTTATGCTTAGATTTTGGTAAAGTATACTGTACTTTAGATGTGTAAATATAGAATGTTCAACCACTTTATATACCAGAGGGAGAATAGTTTACATTGGTAATATGTGTTAGTAATATATTAGTCTTTGTCTGGATTGGTTACTTTAAATATGTCATTATCTTTTGAATGATTTTTATAAATTTCATTGTAATCTTTGTTTTAAACACACATTTATATATACTTGATACACACGTTGTGTATGTTTGTGAAAGCCAGAATTAAGAAAACTAATGGTGTCTGGTGTATTAAAAAGAATTAAAACCAGGCATATTCTTTTTTGGCGAGTATTCTGTACCTAAAACTTGATAAAATAATGTTTCCTACGTAGATCATTTTGAAGTTTGTTGAGGGAAATTTTGTTTGTATACATTTTTCCCTCTTGCATGTATATATTTGCTTGTTAAAGCATGATTTTTTTGGATATGTAAACAAGGTTATATTACAAAAAGTAAACATTGTAAATATTGGCACAGTGTTTCAATTTGATTATTTAACAAAACCAATGATTTTGAAAAAATAAACATTAAACAAACTTAAAGCTAATTGTACAAAATTTGATTCAAACAAGCTTTTAACATTTAACATTTTTCGGTTGGACTGTCATACATGTAGTTTAGTTGAATTCATCAATGCTTTTATACTTTACACACACTTTACAGTATAAATTTTAATTTAGTCGTGTTATTTTGTGAAAAATAAAGTTAATATGTACATATCTTATTTCACACTTTCAATTTGAAATTACTGTGGTCATAAAAACTCTGCTTATAAACAAATAGATGGCAACTCTTATTCATGGTAACTTGTATTTAGTGCATAGTCTTCTACATGTGCATTTCTCTCTTGCTTGACCACAAACTTCATGTACAACTTTTACAATATCATATGGAAATACTGTAGCATGTAGTGTTGTTTCTCTGATACTTCACTCATTCCACATATTCTTAGGTATTTGTGCACAACTTTAATGCACTGTAGCTGGACAAATGTTTATAAAGCAAAGTGAAATAATCTTGTCTGTCTTTTAAGAACAGATTGTGCCTAAATGTAATGGTAAAACTTAATAGCTTGATATGAAATAAAGAGAATGTCATAAAAGTATATATTTATAAAAATTAGCACCATACTCTTGCTGAAATCAACTGAGCAAGAATATTGGAATTTTATTATAACAGGAGCTTTTTTTTTCTTCAGGAAAACCAATTACAAATAGTATTTATTTAAAATAGTATGAATATGCATTCTGTGGAAATTTGCACAGATCACTAAGATTTATGATGAAAGATACAGAATTAATAAAATGAAACAACCGTTTATTAAGACTTATAAAAATGCAATTTCAAAAATTATTTCTAATTAACTGTTTAAAAATACTTAATATTTTACTCTTTATAACATTGTTAATTTTATTTGAACAGCTTAAAACTTGGATAGTTTACTTATGAAAGAAATGAACCTTGTTTCATTGTGTAACTTGGGGCATGTCAAAATCTGAATCATGATAGTGCGAAATCGTTAGCAGGAAGAAGACACGAGTTAAGGTGAATTTGGGTGCTAATTAACTAGCTTAGTATGACAACAGCTCTTATGTTTTATTAATATAACCACTTCTAATTAGCTTATAGTGTCCTAATTTTAGTTCAACTGTACAAGAGTGATTCTTTTGTGGGTGTTACAATGACGCACAACGTCTAATGAGCCTTGCTCATTGTTATTACCATACAGAACTTCTCCACATGAAATCAGAGAACACTTGGTCTCTGAATATTTAGTCTTATGATACTTGAGCAGATGATCTCAGTGCTTAATGCTAGTTTTTTTCTAGACCTCTATTCATCCTAGAGTTCTGTTGATAATTACCCCATTAATCTACCCTTCATAGAAACTAAAGAGAAGGTATTAATCAATCTTTAAATCTTGAATGCACTTTGATACTCAGGATATAGATAGATAGAGACAGAAAAAGCACTGGATATATCCAACCATATTTTGAGACATCTTAGTAGTTTAAACATTTGAACTCAAAAGCTGTAGAAATGTCCCCAAGTTTAAAACTAATTATCCATACAAAAAAAAAAATTCTTCAAAAGAAAATAATTTATATAACCCATGATTTTTGTATAAGCTATGCAGAAGAGATGTTCACCTAATGCTTGAAATAAATGCATACAGCAGGAAGCACAGAGAAAGAGTGAGCTAACAAATCGTGGTATATCAAATGTTGTTATAATATTAAGCAATAGACCCAGTATTTACTATGAAATTTTTACATGAATAGTTAATGTCATTGTCAAGTATTATTACTCATACATGAGTACAAAAAAAAAAGACTTCACTAATTTAAGATGGAATAAATATATTTAATTGAACAACTCAAGCAACATGCATATATGTGTGTGAATGCCAAAACTAAGAACATTTTTATGCAATCACGTATTTGCATTCAAAACTCAGGATATTGTACCAAAAATTTTTTGTTAAAGATTTTTTTCATTGTTTTCAAAGCCAAGATATGGCATGATGAAAGGATAGATTAGAAAGAAAAGAAGTATTTAGTGAAAGTTATTTTATTCTACTACAACGTGTTCTTATGCATTCCAGTTATTTTCACCTTAAGAAAATAATTAATTTTTTTTACTATAAACTATATATATATGTCATTTAAACATTTCTGCTTTGAGTGTATAGAATGGTTATTTGGTACGCATATTCCTGTTCATGAAGAATCATTATTTCTGGTGACAACCATTCTTTCTTGAATGTTTCCAGTTTAGTCCTCCCAAATGGACATCATCCTTTACTGTGATTTATATGCTTATTGATATGGACTGTTTTTCAGCTCCTCCTGCAGACTTCCGACATAAAGTTGACAGAGAAGTATGTCTTGCTGCTCATATTACAGCAGCAGATGTTTTAGTATTAAAGGTGAAAAAATACAGGCATTTTCAGTATTTTCTGTGATGATTTATTATGAGGATAAAGTATAGCAACTGACAGCAGAATTGGCATATTCTACTTTTGGACCTTAAATCTGTAATTTATATTTTCTTTAATTAATATTTGCACAATAGAATCACCACCTTCAGTACATATGCAAAATTGAACACTGCTTCTTTTTTTTTTTTTCAGAATTCTTACACTATGATAACTGCATTTATTGCACTTGATGGCTCATCCCACTTTTTATAAGAAGTGTCTTCCTTTCTTTTTTTTATTAATTGTGCAGCTACACTAGTATTTATTTCTCATGCTGAGAAATTAAAGCTGTTTTGTTCTGTTTTCAGAGATGACAGCTACACCAGATTTTTTCAATATATCTGTGCCTATAGTTTCTCTAAATTCAGCTGCTGTCAACAGTGGTTGCAGTGACGAGTGTGCTATCTTTTTTTTTAAATTCTCTGTTTGCTATAGCTTTCTGATATTTTTGTTTACAAGCTACAAGCAGGTTGTTAGGAACATTATTGTTCTAATTGTCCCTTATTTTTGTGTAAATAACAATTATTGTATTTAGATTATAGCTGTGATTTCCTTGAAATGGGCCCGAAGGCTACCTGGAGGTCACCTGTTTTAACCACTCACACCACTATACAGTAGTGTTTTGTCTATCAGTCAGCAGAACTAAGAATGAGTTCACACACGAGATACTTAACGTTGCAACTTGTACTGTTGTGACATCAGTAAAATGTGCGCTTGCTATGAATCACGAGAAGGATTATGCACACTGTAGGCTACAACACAGCATGGCATATGAACTTCAATCAAAAGCAAGAAATAGAAATATTTATTACTCCGGTATCATAACTTTCCATCAGGTAAAAATAATTAAACAATTTCTTGTTCTTATTAACAATAGATTCAAGTATTACAGATACTTGTTCTAAAATATTTAGTCTGTATTTTTCTTCCTTTAATGTTTCAATCTTTTTGGGACTTCTACTGGTTGTAAAGAAAGTTTGTGTTTTATTATGTGTAATGTTATTGTCTTCAAGTGATGATTCATACAACACAAATATCTAGTCTGCTTGTTTATTTTAACTAATTTGCTGTGTCATCATGTGACCTTGCACATTTTGCACAAGTCATTTATCCTGTTTTGAAGGTGCTAAGTCTTGGCCAATAACGGAAAATGTAGCCATTCATTATTAATATCTTAGTCTTAATTTTGAAATGCATGCTATCTTGAAATACTGTAGAAAAGTTTAAGTTCTTTATCTGTTGTTAAACAACTATATCACAGCCTTACAACATGTGAAACTAAAATTTTCAAAGAAAGAGATAAAGCGATAAACTTGTCATTAATGCTACCTATAATCAGCAAAGAAAGTGTTTTTATTTTTCAAGAAAACAATTCTTAAAATAGAATAGCATAATGTTTACTGTAATTGTTTGTGAAACTATTTTCAAGTTATAGCTGTACTTATCTTTTTTTTTTTGCTATATTTTAGTAGAAATTATTTTAAACATTTTTTTTGTTTTTGGAAAAATCATGTTTGCTATTTTATGCTATCCTAAACATATTTGATATTGTACAAGGTGTTCATAAATTATCTGATCCATTTTTAAAATTAATAATTTCAAAATTATATATAGAATACTCCAATTTTATTTAGCTTGAAAACAACTCGTAAAGCTTTCTTCTTGTTGTAGTATACTTCCACATGTGCACTGCATGAAGAATGACTAGGCAATACTTTAATCTCCCTCCAGATGTTGTTCAGTATCTAAGTAGTCACATTCCTTGTTGCATCAGTTATTCTGTGTTGAATATACCTGATGTTTCATGACCCTCCACAAGAAAAAATCCAATAGAGTTATGTCAGGGGAATGTGGAGGCCATCATGTTGGTCCATCTCTACCAATCCATCTGTTTGTGAATGTGTTACTCAGGAACTCTTTTCTAGCAATGCTCCTGCAATAGATCTGCAACAGAAAGTAGGAAAAAACTTAGAGTTGTTCATCAAGTTAAGTTTTAAAATGGGTCAGATAATTTATGGACACTCTGTATGCGCAAATGACAGTTTTTGCTTTTAATGAAAAATCACTCAATAGTTAAAGTGAATCCAAGAATATGCTTTAAAGAACAAATACAAAAATATAATATTTTTTGTTTTATCTCTCAAATTCACAAGAAATTGAAAGCTTTCAAAATTATGATTATTTTATATGAATTTTTTGAATGAAAATAGTGTTCAGAAATGTTTCATACCTTTATTATGACAGATGAGTTTGCATAACAAGTTTGAGGGTATTTTTAGGTAAAACATTATCTAAGAAAAAAGTCAAAATATGATGCATTGCAGGTAGATTAAATTTATGGGAATTTCTCAAAAGTTTCAACTTAATCTCCTTGTTTTTCTAAATTTTCAAAAGCTTATTTTATCACAACTATCTAGATATATTAATAATAGAAATGAATGTACTCTAAATATTATGGCTATGATTGCAGCTATGTAAACTTAACTAATCACAGATATGCAACTTAAACCAAAATTCCTAGTTTTTATACAATATATAATGTCTGATTCTTTCATTACAAGGTAACAAAATGCTAAAAATTGTAAGTTGTTTGTTGCAAAAAAAAAAAAACAGTTTTAGAAGCATATATTTTT